CAGAGATGTAGATAGTCACCAACATGTCTGTGAAGTGCTAGAGAATCAAATAACAGCAGGTAGTCAGGCCTCGGAAGCTCAGCTACTCTGGGTATTATGAAGGAAAATCCTAAGGCTGGAACATAATTGGAACAGTCATTTTCTAAACAGTAAAATGATTTGATTGTGGTGGTATCCTTTCCTGCCCTTTCTTGGAACACACTCAATCACATTGGTGGAGGGTTTTCTGCCTAAATGTGACAGTTTTGAGTTGTAAAATGTGATTATTCACACTGGAATAATAATGTGAGGCATATAACACTGTTTAGTCCTTAAAGCTGATCAGCTTATCACTGTCCAACACAGAGGACTCAGAAATCAGATATCTGAACAAGCTGAATGTGTTAAAGCAGTGACCAGGGGTGCTATGGGAACAGGAGGCTCTGGACCAATCTTTGCAAACATGAGATGTGGTCCGGGTTTTAGTAAAGTACATCAGGCAGGAAAACCAGTGTTCCTTGTTCCTTTGTTTCCCTGTTTTCATCTGCTTCTTGTTTACTAGGAGAGCAGCATCTTCTTCTCCAGTGTCTACTTAGACTGCATTCTCCATCCATCTAATCTTTTACCCCATTCCTCCCCTTCCTTTTCTGCTGGCTGCTACTTCTGTTCCCTTCATAATGGTTTCAGGGCTGATGCTGTCACTTGAGGGTCCCTCAAATGCCACATAGGTGGGTATTTACATTGCTTTTGAATAAATATTGGTTTTTTCAGCTTCCCCTGTAGGGACATGAGTGAAGGCAGGAAGCAGCAGGGAGAGCAGCAGAGCACTGCGAGGCAGCACTCACATGATGGACCCCAAAGTCAGCATTCACATGTGGAAGGGAACAGGTCAGCACTGGGTTCTGGTGACACCAAATGGCGTGCAGGGTATGGAAGGGGCCTATAGGCAAAGTCACTCCCATGTCCCAGTTCCCATCACCTTTCCTGCCTCCCATACGTCTCCAAAAGAAAACATTTTGATTTTTACTTTCTGAAGGTTTGGGCTGGGGTCTAGGGAGAGAAGAGCAGCAGTTTTATACATAATTACTGAAATAAATTATGCTTGAATAAAATGAAAGCTATGTAAATAGTCCAAAGATTATGACAAGAAAATCTAGAACAAGCTATTATTTTTATATAAAATAAAGCTTGTTAGGTCAACATTGCTTTTAATGGTAGAAAGAAAACTGAGTTAAGAATCTGGTGGATTCACATTTTTTTTCCTTGTTTTCCCTACTCCTGTTTTACTGGCAGTCTCCACCCATCCTCATTGCTTCTACTCATGTATTTAACTCAGAGGTAAAGAGCTATGAATTCTCCATTAGCTGAAAAACACACAGATAAGAGTGTTCAGCAGCAAAGTTTAAATCACCATCTGAATATTATCTAATTTCACACTGAAGGTATGAACATTTCAGGTTTAGCAGTGTCACAGAATGATAAATGTCCTGAACTAGTTCTCAGGAAGTTCCAAAGGAAACAATACATATGCTCTGTACCGGAATAGTTTAAAGTAAAGGACAAGGGAAAAAAAAATCCAAAAGGAAAAAGCAGCCTTGTTTTTTTCCATTGCCTCAAAATGGATCAATCAGACAGCAATTCCTAGAAAAATTAAACATGTATAGTATATCTTAGGGTGGGAGAGATAATAAACTGCTACAGGTGCTGAAGAGCTGCAAAAGAAAAAAATTATCTGGGTTATAGCGTTAAAAATATCTCCTACATTCTTTTCCCGGAGAGCAAAGCAATTTTCTTAAGTGTGTATTATTCTGACTGGTAATCAGAAATTGACTGAACTCTGGACAACAGCCTAATTTTTGTTCTGCTTCACCTTTTCTGTCCAAGGTAACAGAGAACACAACTGGTGTCATTAGAATCTGTGTTTTTACAAATTATCCAGACCTGTATTTCTACTGTTATGACTGAAAATTTAAACAAGCACGTTCAAATGTGCATGGGCCAAGCACAAATGCTACAATTTACAGGACAAATACTGTCTTTTCAGTGCATGAAAAAGCTAAGCAGTTTTGGAAATTTGGATAAATTTTAAGGGCACTTCAGACATCATGAGATGAAGGCATATCAAATTTTCACACCACTTTAAAAAATCATATCAATTATCACACCAATGTGCAAATCTTGTAATTGTTTTGATTAAGAAAGTGGAAGGCTGGAGTTTTTTTGAGAGTATATAATAAAGAAGACCAAGATTTAGTTTCATCTAATATCTCTTTGGGATAGTCACATTTTGAAGCATCTCATAAAGATCTCATAAAGTTTTGGTGATCTGTTGCGGGTTTTTTGGGTTGTTTGTTTGGGATTTTAGGGTTTTTTGTTGTTTGTTCTTTGGTGTTTTTTCAATTGGTTGGTTGGTTTGATTTGGTTTTTGGTTGTTTGGTTGTTGTTTTTTTTTGAGAAGTGATTAAATGTCCAAATGCTCACAATGAGACAGCTGCTGTCAAGTAATCATATACATTTTCTTACTGACTGCTTAAAACATTGCTCTCTGAAAGTGCAGGTTGATTAGATCAGACAAATGTTCTGGTGGTGGGCAACCTAGGTGGAGAGTCTTGGTCTTTTAGCAGCTGGATTTGTTTTATCATTCAAATTAATTCAAAAAATTCTGAGGAAGCTCAAACCCCAGTGCATAATCAGGAGTTTGGTGGGAGGTGGCAGGTTTATATTTACAAGTTTGAATTACCTGCTGCAATACCAGATTAACTGGCTGTGCTGCATTGCAGGAGTTAACTAGCCAGTGGCCTACAGATTTGATAGCAGAAACCTGAGGTTTCACATCTAAGTTGTAATTTGATTTTGACCTATGTTGATCATGAAAGCTAGTCTCTGCAAAAGGTGATGATGATATCAATTATCAGCTGATAGGATTTCATACCACCAAGAAATAGCTACAGTTATTAACTATTTATCTTTCATCACGATGGATCAAGCAGAGAAACCAATAGCCACAATGTGAAGGAGTAGAAAATTCCATTTGTCACTAGGTGTGGATTCTCCCAATCAAAAGGAAAGCATAGTATGAGTAGTAGATTTTTGTCTCCTTCCTACACAACAATCTTTTAAAGTAGTTCTTAGGTGTTCATGGTTTTTTGGTTTGTTTTTTTTTTCTCATGTATTTCTGGAGGCAATTCTACTGGAAATGCAAATCTACTGGAAATAATCAGAACCTCAGAAGAAAGAGACCCAACACCACTAAAAGCAATGGGAAAGGTATTACAGGTTACAGATTGATAGTGGTCTACTAAATCCACTGCTAGGGTTATGCCCTGGACATAAATTTCTTAGGGAATAAAAAAAGACTTTGACTACATTCTGTACATTGAGATGAACTATCCCTTGGTAACAACTTCATGGAAATGAATGGACTTACTCTGTTAGTTATCCTTTATTACTCTGTTGGCTTTTCCACAACAGGCTATGTGCTGGGAGCGCCATCTCCAATTACCTCTGCTGCATTTTCCTTCAGAGATCAGAGAGACTTGTCCCAGTGTTCAGTCCTCAGCATGGGTGTTATTTTCCAGAGTTTGTGAACACTTTTCACTACCATTACACGTTCCCGCTGCGTAGCAGGAATTGCTGATAATTATCCTCTTCATTAATGTGGCTATTAGAGAGAAATTTCTAAACTTGGCCAACTGCTTAGTCTGTACATTTGATTCTTACATACTTGTGTAGCCTTTCTGTTGACTGCACTGCAGGGCTCCAGTCACAGGAAACCCCAGGCTCCTCTCTTAGCAAGCGTAGCCTGTAAAAAAATCAATTAAAATCCATTGAAATATGAAATTGAAGTTCCATTTATTTACCAGTTGCAACACTGCCAGTATTGAACTGCATTTGAAGTGCTTTTCCACAGCGATGGCCCGCAGTGTGAAAGGTGAAGTATAAACCTCAGTTCTCTCACCAGCACATTCAGAGGTTGTGCGGTTACATGCTCACAACTGAAGTGAAAGAGATAAGGATCTTGCACTTGCAGGCTTCAACCTAGTGTATTTTAGCTGGCTACCATTAAATAGATCAGGCTGTGTTGGAACAGCCTTTCTCTGAAATCCTGCTGCTGTTCTGGTCCATCAGCTTTTCTTTGCACTCAAATACAATTGCCATTTTTCAATTTATAATTAAGACCTTTTCTGCAAGAAAGCAGCTTAAAACCACCTGATTTAGCAGGTGTTTTATGCATGTAAGCAGCATTTCCATGGGTGTGGCAGACAAGGATTAGACACAGCTCAAGGTTGTACTTCAGATGGGAACATTCGGCCAGTCTGGGGAGAGATGGCACTGGGCAGAAGGCGGGGAGCGGCTTTGGGGTCAGCAGTGCTGGTCCCGACGATTACAAGGGGTCCCGATGTCCACGGAGCCAGACCCTTCCCTAGCTTGGAGCGCCCTGCGTGAACACAGCTGGGGCAGCCAAGGCCTGAAGGGCTGGCAGCGGGAAAACACCATGTGGTATCGATCCCAGCGATCGATTATTTCAGTTATCACCGGAGTTACAGCCAGCAGGTGAACACGGCAGTGTTGGAAGCGTGCCCGTCGCTGCCGCAGGGTTGTGTGGGTGAGGATTCACCCCAAAGCCGCAGCGCTGCTGCGTGCCGAGGGATGCCCGGCGTCCCGTTCGTTCCTCCTTTGAATTCTGCCGGCACCCCGTGTTTCCCCGCTGCCGGGAAGGACCCGCAGACCCCCCGGCAGTGGTGTTCAACACGATCCCGCAACCGCCTGTGCTCGGGGCTCCTCCTGCCGCGACATTCCCGGCTCCCAGTTCCCGCTCCCGGTTCCCGGGGCCGGCCCGGCGGGGGCGGCGCCGCCATTGCGCTCCAGCGCCGCCAGGGGGCGCTGCGGCGGCGGGCGGGGCGCGGGGAGGAGGCGGGGCCCGAGCCCACGTCCGAGTTCCCAGGGCGACGGGGCGGTCGCGCCGTGACGTCACGGAGCTTCCCGGTGACGTCAGGCGGGCCCATGCGCCGTGGCCACGGCGATTCTGTGTGACGTCACGAGGCCGGCCGTGACGAGCCGGCGGCGCTGGGAGCGGGCCGGGCCCGCGCTCGCCGCCCGCCCCTCGCACTACGGGTCGCGGCTGGGGCCGCCCCGGTGGCGGGGACGCGGCCGCCCCCGGCCCCGCCCTCGCCTCGCCGCTCCGGCCCAAGATGGCGGCGCTGAGCAGCGGCGGCAGCGCCGAGGGGGCCTCGCTCTTCAACGGGGACATGGAGCCCGAGCCGCCCGCGCTCGGCGCCGGCTACGCGGGGGGCGGCAGCGGCGACCCGGCCATCCCGGAGGAGGTGAGGCCACGCGGCGGCCGCCCGCCCCCGGGGCTCGGGCCCGGCCGTGCCGGGGGCGGCCCGTGCCGGCGGGGGCAGGGAGCGGGGGCCGCGGATGCGGAGGGCGCTGGTCCCGGCCGGGTTGCGGAGAAGCCCCGCTCGGAGCCTCCGCGGCCGCGGGTGCCGCGTCCCGCGAAGGTGTTATGTGGGGGTTTGCCGTCGGTTCTCCCCGATGGTTTTGAAACATTCGAAATGCGTTTTAAACCCGAGGCTGGGTTCGGTTCGCTTTGCGGACGTGCCTTTTGTGGACGTTTTTTGCACAAAGCGTCTTAGGAAATGTTAACGGATAGGGCACCGAGGAGGCAGTGAGGATGTCAGGCCTCTGGTTGGTGTTTTTCTTACATACTTGCTGTGTTTTTGGGGCTTATTACTTAACTTCCCGATCCCACGGGGAGCGAGCGGTACTACCTGTTTTGCTGGGGCTGAAGTGTGAGTTGCGAATGGTTCTGAAATGTTTTCGGCAGAGGGAATAAACTGTGCGGTAACAACACAAGGTGCTTCGCAGATTCAAGCACTGCAGGCATCCAAGGCAGACCAACCTGCCAGATGCTATGCCTCGAGTCTGTTCTGGAGGTAAATACAGATGCCAGAAGCTCTGCTGTGTTGTTCTCAGCGTTACTGGCTGGAAAGTGTTTCAGCTCAGCTTTCCCTGGAGTGTCTACGCTGTTGGTACGAAACCTCTGGTCTCTGAGAAGCCTCGTGGCCATGGGAGGAGCCCAGCCCACCTGGGAACCTCTCCCTTCCAGCAGGGAAAATGAGCTGCCTTGGACCAGCTGCTCTCAGAGGGGTCCAATTTGATTCCCGACTCCCCAAAGACTGGGGGCAGAATTTATTTATCCATTTTGTTTATTAATAGCATACTGGACTATAGTGGAATTAGTGGGTTGGGAAGTTTGAGAAGTGCTGGGGCTCATGCTGGGTAGATGGCCATAAAGGAGAAGTAGGGCAATAGTCCATTCCTATGGTGTTTGCAAGGTGTGAGGTTGATTCCCTCATCTCAAGGAGTTCCAGACTTGCTTTCTGAAGGGAGGCAAAATTCAGCAGTACACATGTATTTTATACCTACCCAGCATGGTGATTACACACCTTGAGTAATGCCAGTCCAGTCTGAACTTTCCTGAGTAAGGAGAAGCTCTCTGCTGGTTGAGAAACCCAAACACCAGAAGAGTGGGCTTTAACAAACACACACTTTTAGCAGCACAGTGAGGCTAAAAAGCTTCTGAATTTCTCAGTTATTTCTGTCATTTAAAAAAATGGAATTAATCCAATAACTGGTTTACATTGTGGCCTTGAAATAATAATACAATACAGCTGACCTGCTTAAACTAAAGTATAGGAGAGAAGGGAGAGAAAAGCAGTGGCAAGAGGCAAGAATTTTTTTAAAAAAATTTTTATACTGAAGGGGGTGTTTGTGAAACTGCTGTAAGTCACTTGAAGTTCAAAAATGTTTGAGACTGTGTCAGTCATTAGATTTGATTCCAAATGGTAAATTACATAGTGTGGCTGCTTCTGCTTTCATCCTGGATGAGACAGAGATAAGTCGTCCAGCATGGGGAACACCTGCTGAGCAGGAGGGTTGATGGGCTGTCAGTACAGGTGTAAGTATTTAGGAAGTGTGGGGGGGATAGTCTTGTATTATTTGAAAGCAAACTACTTCTACATTGGAAATACTGAAACACATGGGTCTCTTGGCAGAGCTGGTTGTAGAGTTTTTATTTTCTGATGTGGTTTTGTTCTGTAGTTAATTAGTTCTTCCTTGAGTCGTAGGTAATTATGTTTTGTTTACTGTATAAGTACACCTATTACTTCACCTAAACCTGCATCTTAATGAAGTTCAAGCCCAAAAAATTGCTGACACACTTAAAATGGAAACTCTCCTTAATACTAAAACAAGCCAACTTAAAGTGGCAAGTTCAAAGTGACATAAGTCAGAGAAATACTGAAGTGCTTGTAACTGACTCATGGCTGTAATGTAAGTACATGTTCTAAGTGTTTTGTTTCATTGTTTCAAGACAAGGTAAACCTGGGGTTTAAAAGTAACCTTGATGTGGAAGCCTCTCAAGGAGCATGACCTTACTTATTTAAGGCAATCCCTGAAAAGGTTTCAGCTCCTACAGTCTTTAGGGAGATGCAGTTCTGGTTTCCAGAAGGCAGACCTTCAGCCCTACACTCAGTTTCTGCTTTTAAAAGGGGAGTAGACAAGAATTTCTGACAGATGTTGAAGTCATCTTACACAACTTACTTGTATGTTGAAGCCCTCTGGTAAATGAGATGTTCTGTACTGAGATGGTAATCGAGTGCCCTGTGTTGGTTACAGCTACATCACTGTCCCTTATGAATTCTCAAGGGTTGGGGCTTTGAAAAACAACATTTAAGCCATGTTGTTCAACTCATGACCAGTTCTTAATCATAGTGAATTAATAATAAATTTTTACCTTTAAAAATTGCTTTGGTAGCCTAAGTGCTGTTACTAAAAAGCTTCTAATAATGAGTATTATAACTCTTCTAATAAATAGTATAATAATTGCTAAATCCTTTTTCAAGCCCTATATTAAAATTCAGGGTTGGTTAGGGTAGTTGTCCATGCAGTCATAAAAAATATACAGGAAATAGCTACTTCTTGGAGACAGGAGGATTTGGGAAAAGTGCATGTGTGTTTTGAAGAAATATGTTCCTCTTCCACTCCCTGTTTGGTTGCTGGTGCTGGGAGGCCTTGGCTGTGAGCTGGCATCCACAGGGGCAGAGGTTGGCTTCTTCCCCAGCATGAATTCTCGGGACAAGAGATTGTTTGGATGGGAGGTTTTCAGAGCATTACAGGGTTGTTGATATGTAGTAAGGAGTGTGTGACAGCTGGGAGGAAAGGTTCTGCTCTTGTTGCTAGAGATTATTTACACCAATATTAAATAATTCAAATGGGATTTTCTGTACTCGGAGCTTTGTAGCCTAAACTGCTCTTTGTAAGACAAAAATGACTTTGAAGGCTGTGAAGTGAGGGCCTGAGCTGCTGGATGGTTGTTTTCTAGGCAGCAATGCTGGAGTTTATCCTGCATGAATATTAGTTATAAATTTAGAAACCTTAATCCTATGAAACAGATTTAAGAGTAAAATGGAGAGTGGATGAAAAGATATATAAAATGAAGATAGAATGAAAAAGGCACCTCTAACCTCCCAATATGAAGTAAGTGATGGGTTCTCCTAATGTAATGTAGGTACATAAAGTAAAAATGGGTTTGATTTTATTGCAGGAACATTTAGGGAACCTGTGATGCTGGGTATTAGAGTGTCTGTTTCTCTTAAAGAGTTTACTATTAAACATGCTACTTATTTGGAAACTTGAAACCTTATGAGTGGTTTTTTACATCATTGCTTTTGTAGTTTTGGGAATACGTTTTGTGTTCAATCTCAATTATGTTTTCGTGCATTAGTATTCAGTGACTGAACTCACTTCGTAGTCTGTGAATGACATCCTGTTTAATTGTGAGGACAAGTTAAAGTGAAGCTGGATGTGAAGCATCTTGTAGCTAATATTCTGCAGGAGTATATCTCAAAAGATAAGTTAAATACTTGTTTCTTTTACATAGCATGGGAAAGGCCTTAATACTGTCTGACTTTGGGCCACAGCTTTGAGAAATGCATGGTGTGGCTGAGGGGAGTCTAGAGCAGAATACTAGCAATGATATAAAGTCTGGAAGGTCAGAGCTTTGAAGAAAGACTCAGTGAAATCTTAAGTTGAAAAAAGAAATGGAAATTGTCAAATACTGCCAGAAGTAGTGAGTTTAAGTGGTAGCAGTGGAGATGAGATGTTACTATGTTCCATGTTACTATGAGATTTGTTCTTTATGGCTAGGAATGGTGAAGCATGAAAATAGACTTTCTGAACTTATAAATAAGCTGTTCATTAAGAGACTCACCTCAACAGGCAAACATATATCAGGAGTGATGGGGGAAAGTTGATCCAGGTGTAAAAAAAGTCAATTACTTAGGTAACCTCTCATCTTTTTTTTTCCTTAGGGTTTTTATGATTTATTTCTGGCAAGGTGGATCGAACATTAGAACACAACCTTGAAATACTTAGGTTTACTGGGGATAGTAGAGATTTCTGCTTAAGGTGTTTTTCCCAAAAGGGAATAGGATTAACAGCTCTGTCCTGTGGTAGCTTGTTTGATTACACAAAACTTGCTTAATAGTGTGGTGGCTCCTTCTGGAAAGTTGTGATGTCTTGGGAAGCTTGTTTCTTATCTCTGTGGATATCCACAAACTGGTTGGGGGCAAAATGTTTAGTACTGATTTATTTTTTTTCCCTTGACTTACAGTCTTGTTTCTTAATTCCCATTTATATTTTGTTGTAGTTGTTAAACTCAAAGGCCTCTTATTTTTAAAGCTGTTCTAATAATACCCTTCTTGACTCTTGTTTAGCTGAGAATGGCAGGTCTTTTGTTGCATAAAGTTAAAAATATTGTAGACCAAATGCATTTTGGATTTTGGCTCTGTTTTTTGTTTGGTTGGGATTTTTTTAATGCAGATATCTTTTGATGGCAGCTATCTTTTAACACAAACCGATAACCCCCAAGTTTTCTTAAGGCTGCAATATTCCACTTTGTAACAAATCTGTGGTTCACTTTAATTAATTGTTATATCTGTCAAAAAAATTTGAATGCATGAAATATTTTGGAGGGAATTTGGTTTAGAAAGAAATCTAATTTTATTGGTACTTAAAAGGGAAACAAAAGGAGGTTTTGATTGATCATGGAATTACTAATTCTTCCAGTCTAGCCTTCCAAGGAAGGTGTTTCAGATTTAATGGAGGGGGTTTTCTGAAACACAGTTTTGGGCAAGTGCAAATTTTATTTTCAGTTTGAGCCGCTGTCTTCTGAAGGGTGGTGAAATGTACAATATATCAGAAATGCCCTGTCATAATTGTAGTCCCTGTGGTGTCTGCTGCTCCCTGTCCCTGCAGTTTG